ATCAGCGGCCCCCTGCAAAAAAGCACTTTTGCAATCCCCGCTGTGGAGTGGCACTTTCAGCGTGGTTGCCCATTGCAATATGCAATGGAGTCCTGATCTTGACAAGACTGGCGAATCTCTGCTGAGCAACGGTAGATGCGGATCCTTGAATCCGGCCACTACTATCCGAGCTTTAGGTTTATATCCCCCTTCACTCCGTGGCTTCCATCTGTAGCATACCCTCGAGCGGAGAATGAGGGAAGCATCGATTTTCCGGAGATCAACGTGCACCGGCCTGCACGAGGACCATTTTTGCCATTCCGTCCATTCGTCTACGACAGCTTGGACAAACTGGGGCACCTCGGTCTCAGACATAGCTTGCCATGGTAGCTCTTTCTTCAGAGCCTGTCTTTGTGCACGAGAAGGGGGCTCCTGAACACCATCGTGAGCCTCGTCACCCGAAGTGTCCATGGCCATCGTCTCCCCTTCGCCAGGCGGTTTCCCTGCCCGAGCTGGGTAAGCCTCAGACACAGGATCGTCCAGCCATGCCGGCTGAGGAGGCAGTAGCCCCGTCACCTCAGCTGACCATACACTCTCTGCCGGTATCGACAGAAGAAAGCCCATTCGGCGCAGCTTCTTCCGCACTGACTCAGAAGCTTCCGGCAAAGACCGGGTGGTGTACGCCACCAAGTTGTAGCGATCTCCTTTGAAGGCCTGCGTCTCGTGGTAGCAGTCCGGCCGAAAGGAGAGCACTTGGTTCTTGGTGTTCGCGAGGAAGCCCGGGACCTTCACGCCGTTCACCTCCTTATACACGGCATTGGAGGGCGGACTGTCAGACTTGCATTCCACCCAGAGAGAGCCACCGCTGAAGTTACCAACCGATGTGACCCAGTTAAGCGAGCCACGGAGATTGTGTAGATCTCGATGGCACTTGGCGGTCGCGTTGCGGGAGATGTAGAGTGAAGTTGCCTGGCCTTGCATGCCGTGAAAGCGGAAGTAGTCCAGGATGTAGGCCGATAGTTGTCGATGTAGTTTCGACGCTCGCGTCACTCCCGTAAAGCCACCATGAGAGTACAAGCCCAGGAGGAAGCCGCCGCTGCCGTCATTAAGACATGTCCTCTTGTTCACCGGGAAGTTCACGGCATCCAACAGTTGGTGAAGCGTGCTGGGACTAAAGTCTCGAGCCTCTCGCAGCTGCCGTGCCAATGACTCGGAAGCCGAGGTGGATTGTCGGCTCGTCGTCCAGGAGGTAGTAGACACCGAGGGCGCAGTAAAAGAAGAGCACGGCATCGTGGCGTCCGCATTGTGGTCACCAAAGAAGTGAGCGGCCGTCAGGAAGGAGTGGCCCTCGAACATCTCCTGAAGCTCTGGCGGGGAGCCATCCCAGCCCACACGGTGGGCCGCATCACGGCCATGACGCCTCAGAACATCCAAACGAAACACCTCTCGAGAAGGGACTTCTGCCAAGTCTTGGCCACAGTGATTGTTGAATTCGTTCACAAAGGAAGAGCTTGTGGTACATGAGGTTGACAGGAGCGAGCTCGTAATTCGATTCTCGAAACACTGCTCCAGCGCCTCTCTCTCTTTCACCTCGTCAAACCACGAAAGCACATGCATAGGCGAACTCACCGTACGAGTACTCAGACATCTGGAACAGGAGTCAACGCCATCGTTGGAAATGCGATGCTGTTCACCGCAATCTTGACAAAACAAAAGTAGGGACTCTGCAGTAGCCGGTTCCGCCTCGGACACACGTCGGGGCTGTGTAGAAACTTGTGGTTCAGGCGACGCTTCAGCAGGACGTTTGGTACCTCGAGATGACTCAGCAGGCAGTTGACCCATCAGTGACTCCAGATCTCTCTCCATCTGTGAGGTACCCAGAGGAACCTGACGAGACCTGTCGAGACGTCTCCTGAGAGCTAGGCTGATCTTGACCACCACCCGACGACACCTGTGGCATCCACCAGACACCTGTGGCATAGGCACATATCCAGACGACTCAGGTAATGCCTGCTGTTCTGGAGGTAATGCCTGCTGTTCTGGAGGTAATGCCTGTTGTTCTGGCGGTAATGCTTGTTGTTCTGGAACAGACTGCAAAGATCTTCTTGCCGGAGTCTTGCTCCTGCTGCGACCACGACTTCTCGGAGTGCTGGGAACCTTAGATCGCGGAGTTGGAGGAACCAGCATCAAAGGAGGCAGCATAGACGGAGCCGGCACTGCAGGCACCAACTGGCCTGCCGCGTCTAGCACTGGCTGGCCCAGCGCATCCAACACTGGCCTGGGAGCTGGGGACGCTGCACGAAGTTGAAAATCCAGCTCGGCCGCCGCGCTCTGATCATCAGAAGAACGGGGAACATCACCTTCGGGAAGTCGAAAAGCGAAAGAGGAGTGCTTGTCGGACAAATCCTGGTCAGACTTTTTAAGGAGGTCCAAGTCGTCCTGACTTGGTGCCCACCACTCCTCTTCGCCGCCAACAGCGCGAACTTGCTCCTTGGAAGCGGAGATGAGCCTGCCGCGGGTGTTGCGAATCCACAAAGTTGAGCCGTCCACTGCCACAATGACACCACGGCGATATCCTTCCAGAGTCCCCTCGCCATCAAGAGAGTTCTTGAAACGACAGTAGGCAACATGCTGGCCTTCTGAGAAAGGTCCACGAGCAGGACGAGGCTTACGAAGAAGCGCTGCACGTAAAGCGGCGTCGGATTCGAACTGGTGATAAAGCATCATCGCCTTCGTGCGGATCTGCTCAATAAGACGAAGGCGGCTGCTGTCATCCACATCATGAAGCGAGCAGCTTTCCACATTGCCTCCGGAACTAAGGAGGGACCCGGGCAATTTGTGATTACGCCCATACACCCATTGAGCTGGTGAGGAGCCAGCCCGACGCAGCAAGTTGTTCTTTGCAGCTGCAGACATCATGACGACCGCGTTGAGTTCCTCAGGACCCAGAGGCGCAAACTGTGACACCAACCGCTGCACAATGTAACGGATGGATTGACCATGACGTTCCACCTTGCCCATCTGATAATGAGCATCGACCGGAGCATAGCGAACCTTAACAGCGCATTGGGCTTGCAAAGTCTCGAAACGAAAGCCCCTGAAACTTCCGTCCGAGTCCAAGAGCATCTCATCCGGCGGGCCAAAGAAGGCAAACCATCCATTCACCAGGAGACGCATGGTCTCCTCTTCGGAGCGGTCCTTCATGTAGCTCAACACATGATAACTTGTGGCTTCATCGACCTGAGACAGATAACCATGTGCACGACCGGATATATCCTTGAGCCACAGGACATCCAGGTTCAAGCGGTCGTTAAAGCGTCTGGCGGTAAACGGCTTGGCGGGTCGAGGTTCACGAGGAGGTTGAACACGCAGACAAACTTCACATCGAAGATGACGTGCTGCTTGAATAGCAGCTTCTGAAGCACCAGACGCGGTCAAATGCCGCACCATTGTAGCTGTGGAGGGATGCCCCAAGTTTGTATGCAAACGTCTCATCACCTGAAGCAACCATTTCGGAGTGCTCTTCAGACCTGGGAATGATATGTCCCTGAAGCCGGGCTGGTGCGGTTTCATGACTTCCGAATCGTCGACCTCGCCCTTCTGGTTGATCTTGCTTTCGGCTTCCGGCAATTCATTCGCGGCATCATCGAGACTGGTTGCGGGAGCCGTGCCGAAGAAAAACACCGAAACTCGAACTGGCGTAGAGAAACGACTTGCTGACTGAGCCAGTATCCTGCTCACAGACTCTGCCTCTACGGAAACAGAACCATCGTTCAGCCAGAGGGCGGCGCCTCTGTGCTTAGCGCCAGCTTGAAGAACTTCCAGAGGAAGACGGCGCTGCATGGGGGTCCTGCAGATCTGTATACGAAGAACCTGCCATGGGACCAGGGCTTTCAGTTGTTCACCAAAAGGTGAGTTAACGGGAATCACCTTGTCGGGTCTCACCTTGTCTTTCAGCTGAGACTCGGCCTCCTTCAACAGAGGCAGCCACGAATCTTGATGTCTGTTGACATCAAGGAAGTAGATCGTTGCCTGAGCACATTCTCCAGGAGGTTCCCATGCAGGTAGACATAGGTCCGCAGGAGAAACATCTGCACACCACGAAGAGATATCCGGATCCCGAGGCCTATTAAGACGTTCATCAGCAGCCTCCTGAAGGGAGGCGATCAAGCCTCGAGTCACAGCTGTTGCCAAAGTGCTCGTGTACACCTGGGACCGACGAGAGTTGCCGCCAAGGACCTGGCCGTGAACGTGTGGCGGAGTTCCAGGGCACTTTGCATCCAGGCACTCCGACATCAGAGGCAAATCTGAAAGCCAGCCAGTGGGCTTCTTCAGCAGGGCCCCGTCCTTGTCACACAAATCGTAACAGCACATGTGTCCAACTCGAAGTTCGGTACGAGGCAGTTGCTGAAGTCGTAGAATTTCGGGGTGCTGCCAAAAAGGCGTGTGAGCAGGATTCTCCAGCAGGAAATGGCCCCCATAGGCCTGGTGAACGACCTGTATAGTCTTCACCATCTCCTTGATCCATCCAAGCTGGCCCTGGCGCATGGTGTCGAGGGTATCCTGGTCGTAGTTCAAATGTTGCACGTTCGACCACAAAGTACAGGGAAACTCGTACACCGTCAAAAAGGGCTTGTGCTTGAGGAGGAGTTCCCGCAAAGTGGCAAAGTCGCGGCCTGTTTGGAGGTTAATGCCGTAAATCACATCAACAGGCTGCAGTGCTCGTAGTCCATGTTGTAGAGCAACCCGAGTAATCTCGGCTTTGCCACCGTAGATCTCCACAAGGTCGGAGCCATATTTGCGTGCATCACGACTGAGCTGAGCTCGGAGTTTCATACACGCGACATTCCAAGCTCCAAGCCTCAAGCATTGACTTTTCGTTGCCTCGAACTCGCTTCAGCAGACCGCTTTTGGCTTAAACGCCCCATGATCGTCATGACATAGGGGCTCGCCTGCGGAACCGCGTAGAGGAGGAGGATCGCCAGGACGTAGTCCGGAAGTCATCTGATCCCGTAGAGCACTCAGAACTCCTCCCCGTAACCTTCCTCCTCGTCCTCGTAGTTGTGGTGGGGAATGAGGTCGTTCGGATCGAACTGTTCGCCCTCGGAGCCCTCCAGGTGATCGTAGTCGTCCGGCATGGCCCAGTTCGGTTCCACCCACTCCTCGCCGTGGTCCACGTTCGGAGCTGACCAATCCATGTCCTCGTGGTAGACTCCTGTACCCGTGCTCATCGTGCTCATCCGGTCGCTCTCCGAGCCATGCCATTGCCTCCGTTGCGGAATAGGCAGGTTCGAGCCGCCCGAGGGTTGCAGCATGCTTTTGGCTCGGGGAGCCGTCTTCGGAGCTGCTTTCGGGGGAGCCGCCTTGGAAGATGGCTGACGAGGACGTAGTCGAGGAGGTGGAGGCACATATCCCGGCGAGGATGTTGAGGAGGGCCGAGAGGAGCCTTGGGATCTTCCCGCCTTGGGTTGGTTTTCGACCCTTTTGCCGCGGAGCGCGTCCATGATGTGCTCGGGCAGGTTCAAAGGTGTCCTGGCCGACGGGGAAGCTTTCGGCGTGGCCAGCACTGAGGTTCCCGACGGCATCAAAACATACCGAGTTCCGCAAAGGTCGCAAATGCGAACTCGGATTCCCGCTGCTCCGTAGGCCCGCATTCCCGAAGGATGGTTGCATGTCTCGGGGGATTTCAAGTAGGCCTGACTTTGTAGAGACTCCTGAGCTGCCATGGCCGCCGTCGTTGACAACAACGTGGTTGCCGTGCTCGGCACAAGATGCGTCTGCATCACCCGGTCCTTGAGAGCAGAGTGCAGGGTGGTTGCAGAATAAAGAAGGACCATCTGCTTGACGTAGAAGACGAAGTTGAGCACGTTCCTCAGCAGTCGACGCCAGCGCACTAGCCATGTGGGCGGAGGCATGAGGAACCGGACGGGCAGGAAGCTCGATGGTAGGCAAAGCTTTCGAGCTTGCAAGGCTGTCCGGATGTATGACGTCAGGCAGGCAGTCTGGTACATGACGTGGCGGCCACTCAAACACGTCTGGTCCCCACTCATCGAGTCTAACAGCCAAGTGACCACAAGGAGACAGCCACAGTTGTGAAGTGCACTGCAAAGCTCGAAAGTATATAGTGCCAGCAAAAACATCTGGAACTGCACCAAGAGCCTCAAAAGCCTTACGTGACATCAAAGCTGGGGCCTTGGCCTTAACGGAGCTCAACGACAATGCCAGAGGTTTGCCTCCAAATGAGACAGGGTAAACGAAACGCCCTTGACTTTGCAAAGCTTCACTGGGACCAAAGCTGAACTTGCACAAGTCGGGGTACTCGAGTCTGAGGAGGGGCTCAATCTCTTGGCACTTTTGCAAATGCCAACTTTCACCTGCAACTTGCCTCTGACATCCGGTATCTGCAATGATATACGAGGAGCTGCTGCCCTGATAGTACTGCAAGAGAACACTCGGGTTCGTTGGGATGCAGGGCTCAAACTCAGAAAGAGCTGGTGCTTCATAAAAGTCCTGATCGCCCTTTTTGTGCTCCAAGCTGAGCTCTGATCCGGCGAGGGTCTCTGCCTTCACCGTCCAAATGGAGGCCGATCCTTCGGCATCCAAAACCAAGCCATCAATTGCAGCACTTGTAAGCTGGGCATTCTGGATGGAATACGAGGGGCAGTCCTTCAACCAGTGATCCGGAGAGCCACAGCCGAGACAGAGACTTCCTTGCAGCCTCTGCTGATGCACTGCGTCAGGAACTCTTGGCTTGCCGCCCTTGCCACCAGAAGACTTGCCTGCCTTGCCACTGCCAGCACCAAAAGAGGAAGAAGGCTTGCCCCGGCCTTTACCTTTGGATTTGGACTTGCCTTTGCCCTTGCCGAAGCCCTTCTTGCCCTTGCCTTTGCTCTTGCCATCCGTCTGGTAGTAGCCTCGCGCCTGAACCAAACTGGCCAAGCGCTTGCTGGTGACCGTCAGGGACTGCATGAGCTCCTGAAGGTCATCGCCCTCGTCGTAGGCGGCGGCGTCGTCGCCATCCATCCATTCACCCTCTTCCTCGTCAGGGACCTCGGCCTCGTCGTAAAGATCCTCGGGATTTCCTTGATCTTCAGCAGGATCGGGTCCTTCGGGAAGAGGAGGAAGGGAAGCCTCATCATAATCTTGATCAACCGGAAATTCATCCTCAGGGAACTCAGCATCTGGCTCCCAAGCGGTATTCCAGTGACACCACTTCTTAGCTGACGAGCTTGGCCTGGAAGAGGTGGAAGCTGTGGAAGCCGAAGAGCCAACTCCCCGGCCGCGACCTCGACGATCAAGCCGAAGGCGAGGAAGACCTGTGATCGTCATACCTGCCGGGTACTGGATGCTTATAGCATTCAATATTGCACGCATGTCGTACTTGTTTCCCGCGGCAAGGAGCAGGGATGCAACGCTCTTCTCATCAAGCCTCAGGCCATCCAACAGCTTGATAACTCTTGCCTGCTCGGGATACTCTGGAACTTGGTTGTCCTTCAGCTTCCTCTCCATGAGCCTGAAACGACGGACAAAAGCATGAACACTTTCCCCTTGGAGGCGGCCGATGCTCTCGAATTCGCGTATGGTGCCACCTTGCCTGAACATTTCCTTAGCACCAAAGCTCCGTTCGAGGTCTCGCAAGAGAAGCTCGATGCCGTTGTCCACGTTATAGCGGCTGTCCTCGATCTCTTCCATCTCCGTTTCGGCCTCGCCCTTGAGGTTCTCCAACGCCCTCAAGGCTTGCTCATTACCAGGCAGATACTCCTTCGTTATCTCCACCCAGCGCTGCAACCGTCGCTTGTAGTGGCGATAGCAGTAGGGGTCCGCCTCAATGTCACCGTCGAAGGAAGGCGGCTGCGGCACTGCCCCCGATCTCCAGCGCTTCTGCTGGTCAGAGGAAGAGGGCCTGACACCGCCCCTAGAACCACGTTTCCGCCTGGAATTCGAAGTGACAAGAGTCTCAACCGAAGAAGCGGCGCCTGAGCCAGCGTCACCTGCAGTGACACCGTCTGCAAAGTCTGCCGGTGGTGCGCCTGCGCCAACGTCAGCACGAGTTTGCCGGGCATAAGCACCACTCAGCAAATCGTCGTCGAAGAACATCGTGGCAATTTCCAGCCCACGCGTTGCCAGAAGTCGCTACCAATCAGAAAACAAACCCGTAGCTGGAGCCTGGACCTCAACGCACAAGGGCCTCAGCGACGGGGAAAGGGTGATCCGCGTCTTTTTTTTGGGTTATCT